CTTTCTTCAAATTCCAAAAATTGCATACAGTTTCTTTATATTTTGTAGCACTGGCTTCACACTGTACCAGTCTGCTCAAAAGCTTTATTCGTCCTTCCACTCGCTACTTTGATTTGCTTCTTATAACTTTGTCCATTTTAACTTTTGTAGGCCACTGTGCTAGCTCACAAACATTGCCTTTGTTGCCCTTTAGCCACTATGCTTAAGGTCACTGCGAGCTGTTGAGGGATAATTTCTTGACCCACACGCATGACTCAGTCTAATTTTAATTAAATTAGATTATGTTTTACAAAACGGATTGGACATGTGTGATTAAGGAAGTCTTGGATCAGAATTTGGTGGCATCTTGATGAATAGAGGGATAGCTAGAAATGAGAAGGGTAATGTGGTGATGAATCCTTAAGGGGGAATTTCAGAGGAATGGGTTCCTGAAGTTGTATGCAGGGTTGTTTGTCCTGTTTGTCTCTGTGTTGCCCTGCGACAAACTGGCGACCTGTCCAGGGTGAACCCCGCCTCTCACCTGGAACGTTAGCTGGAGATAGGCACCAACACTCCTCCCGACCCCACTAAGGGAGGGAGGGACGGACGGACGGATAACAGAAAGCATAAACTGGCTTTCAGAACAAAGAGGAGAAAATAACCACTCAAAGCCGACACTGGGTTCAGAAAGTAAAGACCAAGAAAGGCAGCTGCCTGACATTTCTTTAACTCTTGATTTTTATTGGCAATTGGCAAGAACAGTTCCTTAACATGTCCTCTAGCAAAGATCTTCTCTTCTGGAAAATAGTCTAACAAGCACAAAACACACTGGCACACACATAATCCAGGATCCTGGCACGTTTTGGAATACCCTTTTATTGCCAAAGCTTTAACTTACTGGTTTATTTTTTTCATTTTTCCAATCCAAATTCATTTTTTTCCTTGTGATCTGATCTGTTTTATGATGTACTCCGGTCAATCCTTCAGTAAAACATCATCACATTATGATGCTGACATGACACTAAAACTAGGAAAAGAGAGCACATTGCCCCAGTCCTTACAATGACTCCCTGAGGATCCGAGAATAGATTTGAAAAATACTTCTGTTCGTTCATAAATCACTAGATGGCTTAGCATCAAAATACATGAAAGATTTGCTGTTGTATCAGCCTTCCAGACTTTTGTGGACTTCTGGTTCTAGTCTATGCTACACCCTCAGAATCAGAACACATTATAAAGAAGCAACATTGAGTTTTTATGTTTCACTAATCCAGAAATCTGAAAAATGCTCTGAGCTCCTTTAAGGCAAGGAGAAAACCCCATTTGTTTTCCATTGCCTTTGATTTATAACAACTAGAACAACTTGGAGTGTTGTCTTGTTTTGTAACCTGTCATCATTTTCCCTTACTTTGCACCTGCAATGCAAAGTTTTTTTCTGTTTTTTATGTTCCTGTTTTATGTTCCTTTTAATCAAGTAATGTAAAGATTCCCAATGTGGGTCCTCAGGCACACATGTTTTAGATGTTTCCCTTTCCAGCCCATTCATATGATTACATTACCTCCTTGACATTCCTTTATTTCTTCTTCTAATAATTTCCGGCAGGCTGTACACCAGCTTAA